GGCCTCGACCTTCCTCGGCAGAGAGCAGCGGCTTCCTTCGGCAGATCGGGTTCGAGGGCAGTGCGGAAATACTTCGGTCGAACGCTGGATTGCGGGGTTATACTCGTGATCCGCGTCTAATAGAAAAAATAAAACGTTGTAAATCGTGTTTTGAAAAACGCAGCCAAAACGTATTAATCAAACATGAATGCCGCAATTTTAAGACCCTAAATTATCTCTAGGTTGAAAACGCCGCCGCAGTTTTAAGGCCCTAAATTATCTCTAGGTTATTCAAATTCTTTTTGTATGTACCGTACTTGAATTTTTTAAAGGTGTGAGATTTGATATGATAGATTTAAGTGTGATATTGGATGCGTTTCGGAAGAAGCGTAATAAAATAAAAAAGTTTCCAATATGTAAATTCTACAAATCGCGACCCTTCGTCTTCTTCCCCGAGCATGCACTTAAACTTTTATATGAGCTAACCCGTCTCTTTAAATCCTCCTATTTACACAAAAGTACAATTCAGCCATGGCAGGAGCAAATTCCAAAATCACTCTCAAGCTACTCATCGATGCTCGCAGCCACAAAGTACTCTTCGGCGAGGCTGGTAAGGAGTTCATAGACTTTCTGTTCAGCCTTCTCGCTCTCCCACTGGGCTCTGTCATCAAGCTCCTCTCCCCTTCAACAATGCCTGGATCCATCGGAAACCTATATCAAAGCGTAGAGAATCTTAGTAAGGCCTATCTTCTCGCAAACAGAGACAAATCTACTCTGCTTCAGCCCAAAATGTTCCTTTCTGACCTAAACAGCCCTCTGCTACTCGACACTCAACCTAGTGCGGAGACAACATACTACCTCTGTAATAATTGCAAACAAAAAATTGCTACTAAGAAGAACAATTTGTGCCCAAAATGCAAGGTGGTTATGGCCAACGAAGTCACTGTCGTGCTGCCATCGATGTCTGATTCGGCTTCTACTGGAGCTGGAAATGAGGAGGAGAGTGTTGGAGGCTTTGTGAAGGGAGTAATCACCTATATGATTACAGACACACAGACGATTTGGAAGTAACGCCATTGTCTGCTGTTTCCAGCTTCATCCTTATTGAACGTCTTAGCGTGAAAAAGGATTTACAGTTGGAGGAGAAAGTGGTCTCCATCGGCATCAAAGAGGTTAATTCCTTATCTTCATCATTCTGCCAAAATTTTCTTTTATAAATTTGTAATTTTTTCACAAATGATTTAACGAATGTTATCAAATTTTAATGATGTAGGGACTTGCTTTGCTGAAGGCAGCATTGGATTCTCCCACTGTGCTGACTGATGTTTTCTGCACGTGGATTAAGGAAACAAACCCTAAGTCTTCCACTTCTACTATTTAAACTTTGGTTGCAAAAGCACTTTTTGGAAGATTAGTAATATAGAGATGCTTAACGTAATGCTGATGGGCTGCTGTCTGTCTGTATGTGTTTTATGGTTGCTTCTGTACTGTTATTTTCTCTCTTTGTTTTGCACCGTTTGGCTTTTCTGTGCACAACTACTCTTTCTGATTCAGTAATTTTGGAATGGTATTTAGAACTAAATTTTTGATGTAAATTTTGATCAAAAGAAGGAAAATATGTTGCTGCCAAGTTCCATTTATTTCCAAGCCAAACAGATAAGTTTCATTTGTTTAGGCCCCATATGGGAACATTTTTTGTTTTTTGCTTTCTTTTTTTATTTTTGTTTCTGTTGTTAGATTGTGATGGTTATTTTAAAAAAACACATGATTTGAGTATTCTTAAAAACAAAAGGGGAATTTACAGACAAAGCACACAAATCCTCTGTATTTACGTATTTCACATCGAATCCTCTGTAAATCCTTTTTAGCCTATGCATGAAAATGAATGACAATAGTGTTAATTTTTATGTTATATTAAAGATTTGAGTGTTAGTATGTCTGTAAATATGAAAACTTGAGGTGTAGGATATGTAAATCCTCGAGAATTGTGTGCTATGTTGTAAATGCCTCTAAAATACTAACATATAAAATTTTGCTGATCAATCTTGTTTTAAATGCATAAGTAAAAAATAGAAAATAAAAATGACGCCAATCATGGCCTTAATTTTCAAGCAGAAGTAAGGATGGTGGAATGCATGTTCATCTTCTCGCCTTTCTACAAGGCCCCTTCATGGCAGAAGGCTCTATCATTAAGCTCCCCTGCCCCTGCCCCTGCCCCTACCCCTATCCCTACAACTATGATTACTTCTATTGTACAAAGCCATGAAAGGACTTGATGTCGCAAAGATAGAAGTCCTTTCTGCTTCAAACTGGTTTATCATGATGTAATTATTTCAACATACTTTATTTCATACTTTAATAAGTCTTGACATTAAACATTAAAATTAAAAAAAGATTAGTTGCAATTAATTTATTTTCATTCAACTGTTTTCAAGGCATCGAAGTTGAGTATAGTTGAAAATTTAGACGGCTAAGTTTCTAATTTTGAAACTTATCTATATTATCATAATAAAATGTCCCGTGATTTCATCTAATTAAGTCCATCTTAAAATATAAAATTAAAGCTATTATTTCATGATTAAGGGTCCGTTTGGGGCAACTTATAAGTGTATGAAAATGCCGCCGTACCGTTTGGTTCGCGCGTTTCGTCAGCTTATTCGAAGCTGCGTTTGAGATTTTACACTAAACGCAGACCGTGGGTCGACCCCTTTTTAGGATAAACAGCTTATCCTGAAACGTGCCCCAAACGAAAGTATTAACTAAAATTTTAAAAAAGAAATTAAACACTTATTTTGCTGTGAAAGGATTGCTTGTTAAGGATTCGTTGGTAATAAAAAATTTAAAATTTGAGCAAAATAAATAAATTTATCAATCATCATTAAAAGAAACCCTCCTTTTCATCATTATAAGTTAAAAAATACATTTTTCTTCTTCTGCGTCAAAGAAATGTGAGAGTGTGTGGAGGCATTGTTTGCTTGGCTAATTTTAATAGCATATCTTCAACATATTATTATAAATAGTGTAATCAGCACTAAAGAAACAAAGAGAAAAAATCCTTGGTATTGGGCTAATGCTCTAAGCCGTCATTGTCTCTAAAAATCCCATAAAATTCTATTTCTCTATAAGAGTGAGTACCAATTGGCTTTGATTATAGAGGTTCTTACTCATGCATTCTACACTTGACTCGCGTGATTTGCTCGCTTGTCATTGATTGTTTCACCGACCATTAAAGACAATGGGCGAAGTCCTAGATCTTACAAATCCTTCATATTGAAATTATGGAAGTCAGCACTAAGTTGAAGAATGGCCCCAACAATGTTCTTTTGTCTCAGATCGTGGAGATGTATATCACAAGATAAAATGATATGTAAAAGGCAATCTATCCCAACTACTTTAAACCAATTTAAGGAAGACTGAGAATGGGAGATGGTAAAGGGCCGACTAATCAACTATGGTTGACAGACGCAAATTGAAAACCAATTAAATCTGATTCCCAAATACAAAAGTCAAAGCCTGAAAGTTTTATGATCTCAAAAGAAAACTATTGCAATCCAAACAAGGAGGAGAGCCAATTGAAGCCTACTACAATCAAACAAGGAGGAAAACCAATTGACGCCTACTACAACCATCAAGTGTTAGAGAAATTGATTTCCATTGATCAAATCCAAGGAGATGTGAAACTAACATCATACAAACCTTTGATCCAAGAATATAATATTTTATATATTTTTGGAAGTCCTTGATGATTTCCTATACACAATTCAAGGTAATCCACTTTTGAAAAAAAAAAAAAAAGAATGGCACAAGCTTTTTTTTTGCTTTTAAAAAAAATTATCTTTGATAAAACGTGATGATGAGAAAAAGAGCTCAATACCAACCATTACGGTACTTTTGAGAGAGGACAAAGCAAAATCACCTCTCTAATTCTTGGCCAATGAGAAGCGAGAAGCCAACAATTATGACCAACATAAAACAACAAATTGATGAAAGTGGCTACATACATTGAGGAAGTACAAAACACAAGTGAGAAAATTGCTTCAAAGTACATGATTACACACTGGTGGAATGAACTCGGGTCAATGATGAAATTAGAATAGTGTAAATAATGTACGGGCTCCATTAGTAAGTATTGAGCCCCAATAACACAATTCCAACCATAAAAAAAACAATACCATCATTTAGAAAGACCGGTAAAATAAGCTATTGCTTAGTATGTTTTAAGCAAAAATTATCTCCCGGTTGGAAAATTGATATATAAACAACTGACTATGACATTCAACTCTTTTATGTTTATAGAGTCCATGAAACCCAAGCAAATGTACTTTGGTGATGTTAAAATATGTTCTATGTGGAGGACTTTACAAATGGTAGAGCAAATATCACATGTGAAATAAATAACAAAGAATGCTTGATTTGGCTATGACATCATTAATTGGGACATATCTCATTTTGTTGTCCTTTTCAGCAATTTATTTTCTGGCATACGAGAATCAAAATTCATTTGTGAACCACGTATATACATAGACTTGTCGAAGAAGTTCTGGGCAGAAGCTATTAATACTGCATTCTATCTGATAAATCGTGGTATGTCAGTACATTTGAATAAAGGCTTACGGAATAAATTTGGAGTGACAAAAAAATAATTCTATCTCATCCGATAGTATTTGGTTGTTTATTATATGTTTGTGTTGATATAGAATCTAGAAGTAAGTTTGATTCAAAATATGTCAAGTGCACTTTTATGAAGTATGACTCAGACGAAGTTGGGTGCAAATTCAGAGATTACTAGAATAAAAAAATTATTAGGAGCAAGGATGTGACTTTCAATGAAATAGAGATGTAAAAGGACATAAACCGAAGTCAGGATTATTCATCGGTTACTTCTGAAGAGTCTTTAAGTATTTTGAGATTGAAGATATTGGTGATTAAGAAGATAGACAAAGAAAATGTGTTCGATCTCATGGAACACATGAAATCAATAATGTTCTCTTAATTTTATTTAATTAGTTGTTATATTAGTTTAGTTTTATTATTTATGTTGTTTTTTCACATTTAATATATTGTTATGGTGCATGTTTTTTTTTTATTTTTTAATATACATAATTAATTTTTAGTAATATGGTGTTATAATGCACGTTACTATTTTAAATTATGTATGATATGGTGAAATTCTGCTAAATTTTTTTCCAATAATTTTTCACCCCACGTTATTATGCTCATAAATTTTCTTGATTTTTTTAATTATTGCTTCCATGTCTTAATGTTGTCCGTAATATATTTAAATTATTAATGACACGTCGAATGATGCCTGAAATTATTATATATTAATTCTGCTTTGTTGAATTGCTGCTCCTGTCGTCAGGATCCTGGTGTACACATCACTGTTAAAAAGGTACAAACAATTTATTTTTATATGAAATTAATTTAAAACTTAATGTTGTTTATTTATGTTTATTATTACTAATACTTATTATTACGAGAACACAATAAAATTATCCTTAGTCCAACGTTATATGTAGATGAAATATAGTGCTTTTGAAGCCATAAAGAATTTTGTCAAAAAATGCCTAAACTGCTTAAGGAGACCTTGAGACATAAGCCGTCATTGTACCCCCCTCATCACCTGAAAGTTATCATAGCTATGAATTCATTTCTTTTATTGCATATACCATAGCAAGTAACACTTTATATTTTGCAGCCCGTTTTATTCGTTGTTATAATTGAAGTAATTTTAATTAGGTTCAAGTAAATGTCAATTAAAATGTTAACATTATATGGGTCTATATACAGTCTGGAAACCCGACGACACAGAGCTACTGGTTCAAACGAGGTTGAAATAATACCTCAACTTTCTGGTGTAAAAATGTCCTATATAAATCTTACATAATTTTTAACATTTTAAATTTAAAAATTTTCTGAACTCTTTAAATTGTTTTGACTACATTAAAAATTTCATTGTTACCGTTAATTTTTTTATGAATTATTAATTACATGTCAAAATAGTTAGCACTTTATATTGTTAATTGTAGAACAATTAGCACTTTGTATTGCATTGAAATGTAAATGAACTATGAAAGAAGTTGGAAATAATAACTTTTTATTATGCAAAAAACATACACAAAAAAAGTATTTTGGTTAGGGTTATATGCATATAGAATGTAGCACCTTTAAAGCTACAAAGAACCTTATCAAAATGGCCTAATCAGCCTAAGGAGAGCTTGAGGCGTAAGTGATATTTGTACTACTCTCCTCACGTAGAAGTTCTTATAGCTACAAATGTATTATTTTTCATTTTATATGCCAGAATAATTAACATTTTATGACGTCTTTAATATTTACTGTTATAATTGAAGTTTTAATTATGCTCATGTAAATTTTAACTCTTTCTTTTAAGTGAAATCAACTGCAAGATCAGAACTAATTTTTAAATATGAGCACGCCCTTGTCATGCATGTTGATATGTTTTAATGACGAGCTGCGATTTTCAAAAGACTTCACTCCCACTTATGTTGATGGACATAAACATCTCGTTCAAGTTTCACGGTTTATATCATTAGATGAATTATAAAAAAAAAATCATTCTTTTACTGCGCAACGATAGTTCAACGCATATCGTTAATATAGTATGTCGTTTGCCAGTTAGTACTAGTTACACTGTAACTTCGGCCGATGATGACAAATGTTGCGAGTTTATGTTGTTATAAGCCATAAAACCCATAATAATTATATATGTTGAGGCTGAACCCTTGCCTGTTGATGCTTCTGAAGTCGATGCTCCTTCAAATGCTGTCGGTCCTTCGAATGTTGCTGGTCCTTCACACGCTTCCGAATATGTGCCTGAAATTCGTAGGTAAAAAGAATTTTATATACTGAATTAATATAACAATGAGAGGAGTCTACTATAAACTTCTTATACTTTTTGAATTCAACTTTGTAGGCCAACTTCAATTTCTTATAATAAACATGACACCCAGTTATATAATATACATAACCAACCAGTGGACAATTATAGTACATGTCGATCATTTGACTTATCACATTCATTCCATCCTTACGTTAGCAGACATGATGAGCCAGTCACACATCGAGAGTCCCACAATATGCGTTTGGATGCTAACATAGGCGAATATGAAATGATGGATAGTGGCACCAGTGACAAGTCAAGCGAGCCAGAGGCAAACAAGGATCATAATGTACGAGATAGTGAGCTGAATACCGTTTTACGAGGGCACAATTTATTACGCTGATACACAGTGTTAAATACGGAGATGTTAGAGTCAATGGCTGAGAACAATTGATTTATTGTGGCATTTCGACCTACCGAAGAATGGGATGTAGTTGAAGAATGCCATGTTACCATAATTCAAGTTCCCTTACATGGAGATGATGCTATTCCAGATGTATTATATGAGTTGATGATATTTCAAGTAAGGATGTGCTATAATGGGCTCTGAATGGATGGTCGATTAGTAATAATGTAGAGTACATTAAAACACCTTCAAACAAAAAAAATGACTTATTGTCCAGTGTGTAAATTCCAATCATGATACCCCTTCGTGTCAGTGGCGTCTACAGGCTGCGAAAAGTCAACGTTTAGGAGTTGTGTGGAAAGTATTAATGCTTGGGTCATACCATACATGTAGTCATCCGAAAATGTCAACTGGACACCTAAACTGCACTTCGAAGTTCATATGTCACTACGTCAACTCAGTTTTAAGGCAACTACTTGACCATATGCCCAAGGAAATTATTGCTTGGATGGAGGCCAAATTTAATGTTTGTGCTAGTTACATCAATACATAAACTGAATGTAGAAAAGTAATAAAATCAATATTTGGCAGTTTTGAGGAGTTATATTTGCTACTTATTTTAACTAATGGAAGCAATACATAGTGCAATACCAGGCACTGTGTATAAATTTGAAGTTAAAACTAATACCCGTTTCCATAGCATCTTCTGGGGCATTTAACCCCAGTATATACGGGTGGAGATTTTGCCGACCCGTGCCTAATATGGACGGGATGCTTCTTCGAGGAAAGTATAGAGGGACTCTATCGGCTGTAGTAGGAATTGACGGAAACAAAGAACTTTTTCCACTTGCATTTGCTTAAGTTGAGTCGGAAAATACTGAGTGGTGGGTAAGGTTTCTACAACAACTCTATGCTTTGTTAGAAGTCGTCTTGACTCGTTGAGATCTATGTATTATATAAGACAGGGACCCAAATTTGGTTTGCGGCTACAGAGAGATTTTGACCTGGGCTGCACTTCGACACTGCTTGCATCAACTACAAGAAAACTTTTAGAAGGCATTAAGAAGTCTTGCAATAGGGGATGTCGACATCGTCAATGACAAAGATAATACTGATGAATTCAAGATATTTAATAGGCACATGAATGATATTAAACAAATTAAGAAAGACATGCAATTGGTTGATTGAGAAAGATATCATGAAATAGACTTTAACAAATAACGGTAGAGCTCGATTTAACATAATGACAATAAACACATCTGAATGTTTTAACGGGGTTCTGAGATGTGCACATGGTCTCCCAATTCAGGGCTTCATTGTGCTATATATCACAAATTGATTGCCTTTACCTAAACCCTAAACAATATGCCATAGTGAATCGAAGCTGGGAGTTGAGACGTTGTCCCACACAATATCTAATCAACAAAAAATTGATTGCGAGACCCATCAATTTTCCCAGTCGACCTGCAAAAATAATCTTGGATATCAGGAATTTAATATGGCTTGTTGGACATTTCATGTTGCTATTCTTTTTTTCAAAGAAACTTTCATGCAAATACAATAAGCCACAAATATATCACTTATCATGTGTGCATGTGATTGTGGCATTGGGGCTAGACATTAGGATCATATGTTTTTATGATATTTTTTTTGCATTCATAACTGATTTGTGTTAATTTTTTTTTATCTATGTTTTTATGGGGTTCATTAAATAATCAGGAGATAGATGCAAAGTATTTTTAATTATACATTACTTCAATTTTTAAAAGTGAAGATGTGATATGATAGATTGAAAAGCTAACAAAATTTAAGTCTGATTTATCTAAATACATTGAAAGGGATGCGTTTCGGAAGAAGCGTAATAAAAAAAAAAAAATGTTTTAAATATGTAAATTCTACCAAACGAGACCCTTCGTCTTCTTCCCCGAGCATGCACTTAAACCTTTATATGAGCTAAGCCGTCTCTTTAAATCCTCCCATTTACACAAATGCACAAATCAGCCATGGCAGGAGCAAATTCCAAAATCATTCTCAAGCTACTCATCGATGCTCGCAGCCACAAAGTACTCTTCGGCGAGGCTGGTGAGGAGGTCATTGACAGCCTTCTTGCTCTCCCACTTGGATCTGTCATCAAGCTCCTCTCCCCTTCAACAATGCCTGGATCCATCGGAAACCTATATCAAAGTGTAAATAGTCTCAACAAGACCTATCTTCTCGCTAACAGAGATAAGTCCTCTTTACTTGAGCCCAAAATCTTCCTTTCTGACCTAACGAGCCCTCTGCTCCTCGGCACTCAACCTAATGCGGAGACAAAATACTATCTCTGTAATAATTGCAAACAAAAAATTGCTGCTAAGAGGAACAATTTGTGCCCAAAATGCAAGTTGGTTATGGCCAACGAAGTCACTGTCGTGCTGCCATCGATGTCTGATTCGGCTTCTACTGGAGCTGGAAATGAGGAGGAGAGTGTTGGAGGCTTTGTGAAGGGAGTAATCACCTATATGATTACAGACAATTTGGAAGTAACGCCATTGTCTGCAATTTCTAGCATGATTCTTATTAAACGTTTTAGCTTGAAAAAGGATGTACAGTTAGAGGAGAAAGTGGTCGCCATCGGCATCAAAGAGGTTAATTCCTTAGCTTCATCTTTCTGCTAAAATATTCTTTTATAAATTTGTAATTTTTTCACAAATGATTTAACGAATGATTTCAAATTTTAATGTAGGGACTTGCTTTGCTGAAGGCATCACTGGATTCTCCCACTGTGCTAACTGATGTTTTTTGTTCATGCATTAAGAAAACAAACCCTACGTCTTCCCGTTTTAGTATTTAATCTCTGGTTGCAAAAACTCATTTTGCAAGGTTAGTAATATATAGATATGTAAGGCAATGCTGATGGGGCTGCTGCCTGTTTGTATGTGTTCTAAGGTTGCTTCTGCACGGTTCTTTTTTCTCTTTGTTTTGAACCGTTTGGCTTTTGTGTGCACACCTACTCTGTCTGCTTCACTAACTTTGGAATTGTACTTGGGACTAAAGTTTTGATGTAAATTCTGATCAAAAGAAGGAAAATGTGTTGCTGCCAAGTTCCATTTATTTCCAAGCCAAACAGATACAAGTTTCATTTGTTTAGGACTCATGGGATCATTATTTGTTTTTTGTTTTTTATGTTTTATTGTTTTATTTTTATTTTGTTGAATAACAACAACAACAATGCCTTAATCCCACTAGTGTGGTCGGCTACATGAATCCTTTTTCTCCATTGAGTCCTATTTTACTTCTAGTAAATTAAGATCATTTTTAATACAATAAGCCCAAGTCTTCCTAGGTCTACCTCTGCCTTATTTTGTTGAACGTGTTCTTAAACATAAGTGATTTGTGTTTAAAAAGCAAAAAATAAAAGGGGAATTTACGAACTAAGAAGTTTATGTATTTAAGTATCTCATATCTAATCTTTAATAATCTTGCACATTTACACACATAGGAGTGGTAATAGTGTTAATTTTATATGATATTAAAGATTTGAGTATCATCTGTAAATATGGAAGTTGAGGTGTAGGATATGTAAATACATGAGAATTGTGTGCTATGTATGTAAATGCTCCAAAACAAGCATATAAAAATTATGCTAATTAAATTTGTTTAAAAAAAAAAAAAATGATGCCGAACATGCCCTTAATTTTGAAGTAGATGAAATAAATAAACTGAGGGAAAAAAAGTCAAAAAGAGTGGTTTTCATGCTAAGTTGTGAGAGTAGTATTAAAGGCACAGATAAGAAAGCAACCCATGACGAAAGTTCAATATTTTGAGTCTCAACTCTTTAAAGACGGTCGAATGCATGTTCATCTTCTTTCAATGTTCTGACATACTGCAAGATTCTGTCATCAAGCTCCTCTCCCCCTCGCTACGATGATTATATAAACTGTAGAAAGTCTCCAAAAGACTAGTCGCAAAGATAGAAGTCCTTTCTGCTTAAAATTGGTTTCTCCATATGTAATTATTACAACATACTTTCTTTCATACTCCAATAGATCTTCACATAAAACATTAGAACTAAAATAAGATTAGTTGCACTTGATTTATTTTTAGTCAATTATTTTCAAGGCATTGAAGTTGTGTATAGTTGAAAATTTAAACGGTTGAGTTTCTAACTTAGACGGTTAAGTTTTAACTATTAGAATTGTGTTGAGCTTAGTAGTAGAGGAAGATCTATATCTATAATAGATGATTATGAGAAGTTTTAACTATCAGAATTGTGTTGAGCTTAGTAGCAGAGGAAGATCTATATCTATAATAGATGATTATGAGAACTTTCCTACATGATGACTTAGAAGAGGAATTGTATATTGAGCAATCATAGAGATATGACGTTCTAGAACAAGAATAAATGGTAACATAAGGAAATGTTTATAATTTGAAGGAGGCCCCAAGACAATGATATATGAGATTTAAAAGGTTGATGCCAGACAATGAATATATGAAGCATCAAATAGAAGACACTTGCTATATCGTGCTTTTTCTGAATGTGGAAAACATGATTGTAGGAGCATATATGAAGGAAATTATGAACTTGATTGAGCAATTATCAAAAAAGTTTGAGATAAAGATTTAGATGCAATCAAGAAGATCTTCAATATAAGAATCAATAGGGACATAAGTACAAGTAATCTGAAGTTATCTTAGGCAGAATATATTAACAAAGTCCTACACATGCTCAACATGAGAAACAAAATCAGTTTGCATCTCCTTAGGTAGTGTCTCTTTAAGTTATCTTAGGAATAATCACTTGAGTTTGAAGCAGAACAACACATAAAAAAAAACCCTTATGTTTCGATTGTTGGAAGTTTGATATATGCGATGATATGTACAATACTAGATATAACATTTGTAGTGTGAGTGGTCAACATATACATGAATAATCCAGAGAAACATCATTGAGATGCAGTGAAATGGGTTTTTAAATATTTTAGATGAAAAATCAATAATGCACTTTATTTTAGAAGTACAAAGATTAATCTATAGAGATGTAAATTGAGACCTGACAGGAGATGTATATGATAGAAGAAGCACAACAGATTATGTCTTCACTTTGGGGACCACAATAATAAGTTGGATTTTAGGTTGTAAAATATTGTTGTACTTTCAACTACTGAAACAAAGTATATTGCTTTCAAATGAGGTTAGCAATGATATGTGTGTTGTAGAACCTTATGATAGAATTTGGTAAGAAATAAGGAATTTAAAAGCTTCATAATGATAATATGAGTGTTATTCATCTAGCTAAGAATACCGCATTTCATGCTAGTATGAAACACACTTAGCTAACATATTGCTTAATGCGTTCACTCATAGAAGATAGTCAGTTATCCTAGAGAAAACACATAACTCATAATCTTGCATATATGTTGACTATGATTGTTACAAATAAGAACTTAAAGCTATGTTTGGCTTCAATTGGAGATAAAAAAAAGTTGAAATTGGAGTTGAGCTACACTACTGTTTATTACTATGAAGATGCTGGAGGTTTGTATGAGAAGAAATGTTCGCAATTAGCTTCCAAGTAGAAGATTGTTATATGTGGAGCTTGATTGGGCTAGGAAGAGCACACTCATGCCTAGGGAGGGTCCTAGCACCTGATAACCGAAACCCAATGCCAATAGAGGCGCCTAGGCTCCCAGGAACAACCCTGGATTAGAGTGCTTAAAAATCCAATGCTTAGTAAGTTCTCAACTGCACTTGATCAAAACTCTTATATTATAGGAATCACAAGAACATTTCTCCACATAACTCAGAATCCTGCATATATGTTGACTATGATTGTTACACATAAGAAATTAAAGCTATACTTGGCTTCAATTGGAGATCGAAAAAGTTGAAACCGGAGTTGAGCTACACTACTGTTTATTATTACGAAGATGCTGAAGATTTGTATGAGAAGAAATGTTCACAATCAGCTTCTAAGTAGAAGATTGTTATATGTGGGGCCTGATTGGGCTAGGAAGAGCACACTCATGCCCAGGGAGGGGCCCTAGCACCCGACAATCGGAACCCAGTGCCAGTAGATGTGCTTAGTCTCCCAGGAACATGAAAAACTCTGGATTAGAGTGCTAAAAAATCTGATGCTCAGTAAGTTCTCACCTGCACTTGATCAAAACTCCTATTTTTTAAGAATTACAAGAACATTTCTCCTGGCAAAATAACTTTCACCATAGAAAATATTCCTCCCCCTCCCCCAAAATAAGAATAAGACAAAAAGGAATTGCAGAAAAACTACATTTATATATACAATACAAAAGCATAAATCTTTCAAACAATCGGGTCTGTTTGGGGCAGTTGTAGCTTATTCAACTTCTGCTGATAAACAGTTTATCCTGATAATCTGCTGATGAACAGCTGATCCAGATAAACTGTTTGACTGTTTGGTTTGTGTGTCTGAAAAACAACTGACTCTGGATGAATGACCATTCTGCCCCTGTTTTAGATAAACTGTTTAGCTGTTTGATTTGTGCGTTTTGTAAACGGCTTATTTATAGCTGTTTGTGGAAACATGATGCATTCTACAAATGTTTTTTTCTCTCTCTCTATTCTAACCATAGGTCCCCATTGGATTCCTTTGAAATTAGAAAGTATTTTGCGAGAAATAATGATTTAATACTCGTATTTATAATGAAGGTTAATTATGCATGGGACATTTACATACATACCATCCAAATCCTTTATATTTATACAGATAATACCTAAACTTTTACTACTTACATTTATGCCACCCAAAGATTTCATACCACATTTATAACTACACTATAAATGACCGTTAAGCCTCTCAAACCTGCATAATCGTAAAAGAAGCAAATTACAACAACATAAAGCATATTTATAAGTCCACATAACAGCCATATAAGAAGTCTGAGGTAGAGAGAGCAGCAGCTAAATTCTTACCACTGCTGCTGAACGATTACTGGCCATCATATGTGGCCAAATAAAAAGTATATAAAACATATTTATAAATCATATGTGGCCAAATAAAAAATACATAAACCTGCAACAGTATAATTTAGAACCACTTGCTACCAAACTGTTAAATTTCTTAAGAGCAAATACAAAAAGTTTGATTGCTAAAAAAAATGAAAAAAAGAGGGTAATTACATACATACCACCCAATTCTTATGTATTAACATATCTAACACCTAAAATTTGATTTTTACATCTATACCAGTCAGACCTTTTCATGCATAAGGAGTATATAAGTAAATATCAAATTTTAAGTATTGGAAATGTAAACATACAAGAATTGTGTGTTATGCATGTAAAACTTTTAAAAATAGAAGGGCATTTACATACATACCGCCCAATTCCTATCTATTTACATATTTAACATCAACATTCCACATTTTACATTTATACCGTCCAAATCATTCATCACATGAACTACAAATGTTCACATCAAACAGAAAAGGCAAAACAACACCATTTTAAATTGCAAAAATGCTTTAAACAGTTTAAGGACCCACGAAAAACAGTCTCATGATCGAGCAATTTCGTCCGCTATCTGGTCTCGTAATGCGACCATTTCCCTTGCACCTTCACCTTCGCGATTGTAAGCATGTTTGGATTCTTTCTGTTGTATGGGATGTTTGACAATGAATTCAAATGCTTCTTGTGGAATCTGATGCCATTTCCCTTGCCACTTCACCTTCGCGATTGTAAGCATGTTCGGATTCTTCCTGTTGTATGGGATGTCTGACAATGAATTCAAATGCTTCTTGTGGAATCTGATGCAGGTCTTCTTCTACAGATGCAAAGTCCACATCAGAGCAAGAGTGGTGACGTCGGATGTAATTGTGCAGCGCCGTAGTTGCCACAACTATTTGTACATGCTTCGAAAATGGTAGGTTGACATGTCACGTAATATCATTCACTTCTTCTTACATACCCCGAATGACCTCTCAATGACACCGCCTAAAGAGGAGTGTCGTTTCTTGAACATTTACTTTCTACCACGTGCAATCCCGCTTGACCTCTCGATGTCGGGAATGTGGTACTTTGTGTCGGCATAAGGCTTTAGATAACCCATTTGTAAGGGATATACGACGTCAACCAGATAATATTTACCTGCACGAAACACATAATTTAGAAACAGACTCATAAATATCTAATATATTTGCTATAATTACGTACCAGGAGGGGCTACGAGAAGTAATGAGTTCGCCGTCTTGTTGCAAACTTAAAAACACGACAATCGTGTGCGCTGCCTTCTCATCCAGCCATCACAAATGTGTGGGAGAACCACACCGTCCAATGTAGGCCACCTTGTCGGTGCCAGATACACGTGCATCAACGTGAGTTCCTCAATAGCTCTTATACAATCCTAAATTTAATAATGTATAATCTATTAATGATTGAGAGGTAAATAATTTTAATATAATAATGAGATGTTTAAGATATACCTTGAAGAACGACATGTAACGAGGGTCAACATGTAGCGAGGGTCATTCGCAATTTGTGTCGGGATGGATTCAAATGTAGGATCCTCGGGCTTAAATATCTTAGCAGCTAAATTTACTAGAGCATTTCTGCCAATGAAAAATTATCTGCTGATAGTCTCTGATGAATGTTAAATCGCTCCATGACTCCTCTAATGAACTCCTGAGATAATATGTAGTGTTATTACTAGCACCTTTCTTGATGTCATTCTGGTCGAGTCATTCAAATCATGTTGGTGTTGTAGTTCATAGAGCAGATCAGTGAAAATCTCTTTCTTCATTCAGAACATGTTTGCGAAACGTGTCGGATGGCCTTGTAGTAACTCACCAACCTATTTATCGCCAACATATCTCGACGTCATACATGAAGTTCGATCGATGTATGTGAGGTAGTAGTCAAATAAAAAAGTAAGAATAAACACAATTTTTCTAATATATTGTAATTGTTCTGGATTCATCCTACGAAAATTAGTTCAAAGAAAATAGTTAAAACATTCAACCATTTAAAGACATCCATACAACATATAAACACATTAGATATGAGAACTACAGTATTAACTATAAGGAGTGCATATAAAAAAAAATTCTAGGAAAAAAATAACGATCCCTGTCACAACATTACAAACAATTATGAGAAAACAAAACAACAAGCTTTCAAAACATTCAGTTTTCCAAGGAGGAACGTAAGAAATTAACTTAGTATTCTGCTTCTAACTTCACGAAAAATTCTCTATGGACTGGATCTTGTAGTAACTTATCATAATTGAGATATAATTTCCTGTCCGTCTTAACCTCAATATGTGTATTTAAGATTTGAAGACACTCCTCAACGGATATATCCTGTGATGAAGTAAGCTGAACAATGCAGGATTCAACAAGTTTTTCGATTGTGCTTCTGAAGAATGCGGCTCCGTTCTTCCTTTTCTCCACCCTACGCCGTTTTGGAACGAATGAGGATTCCATTGACCTATGGATTTCACAGGACATTTCTCCTGAGCCATTTAGATTATCAGTTCCAAGAACAACAACTGTGCCAATGAGTCTTGGAACTGTAAACCATGCAATTTATCTAAGAAAAATACAAATTTGTGAACCTGGATGCCGAAAGGAGTCATTGTACTAGATCCAAAGTGACATAAATGTTCATACCTGGATGTTGAAAGGAAGCAGGGAGCAATGTCAAGACGCGATCGGGATGGCGACAGAGGCAATGGCGAGACGCTATCAGGATGGCGAACAGAAGCAGGGATCACGATCTAGGGCAGAACTTCAGGATCGCGATCTAGGGCAGAGCAAGGGAGGAGAAGATTAGAAAAAGAATAAAGAAGTGAAGAAGAGAGAAGAGGATAACAATTTTTTATCACTCTCGGGCGATTGGGGGAAGTGCGAAGGAGCGGCACCGAGAATCGTCGCACGCATAAAGAGGGCACCTAGAATGCGTCGCGCGGGAGAGGAACAGGTGATAAAAGGGTACCGAGGGAGGCGTTCGGAATGTTGATCGCAGGGTTATACCTGCGATCGCGTATCCACTAAATTAGAGACGCCGTTTTCTTATAAGCAATGCAAACGTGCAAAACAAAGAGTACGTATAAGCTGCCCCAAGCTTATAAAATCACATAATATATAAACATTCTGCAATTAGAAAGAACTCACCAATATGAGCATCAGATTATTGCTTCCATCAGAGGATTTGATGGAAAACAGACCAACAAGGTTGAATCTTGGACACCTCATTTCTTTCATGATCATCAACATAAACATAAAATCCATTAGAACGGAGTTGAGAAAACGCCAGATTGAGAGAATTCTGTTTTTCTTCCGAATGCTTCCCTTGAGACGGCTGACGCTTAAATCACTTCTTTGACACCCAAGAAATATAATCCTTTTCCTTCCTCTGGGCCAATTCGTTTCTTCATTATTAGCTAAATCCCTCTCCGTCCTCGGCAGCAACTTTAAACCCGCGAGTATTTCTTGTTTTAAGAGATGTCCTGATGCTGACTCCTCCATCCCATCTCTGCCCGAGAAGATCTGACGCTTGTTTTTGGTTTGAAAGTCGTATTCTACCACGCGCACACCGCCAATGTTGGGGTAGTCATCCGGCGCGTGGGTGAGATAGAGCCGATTTTGAAAAAATATGGCATCGCTGAAAGCGGGGAAGTAGTGCAAGGTCCAATGGGAGCCGCCGATGGGACGGAGCATGACAGATTCATGTCGGAAAAGAAAAAAGTTGGGATTTAGGCAAGGTCGACGAACAGAACGGACTAATAAGAAAATGGAAATCGGCATGGAGGCCTGAGAGAGGGTCAGCGATGGAAGGGATTCATCCAGTAGAGTCATCGAGAGCAACTTAACACCCGTTTGATTGGTCGAAGAAGGCTAGTGTTCGATAGGAGGGGATCAAGGGAAAATTATAAATGGCGTCGTCGGTGATGGAGTAATAGCTTGAGGAGGCGGAGGAGGTGGAGCCAGGGAAGAGGATGAGGGCGTGAATGGAGGAGATGAAGTCGGCAGTGATGGAGGAAGACGAGATCGTAGAACGCCAGGATTGGCACAGGCTCGATAAGGCGGTGAAGTAAGCAGGACTCTGAAGGCGCATGACGATAGAGTGGAGGGCCAGTTCTGGGAGCGAAAATCAGTTATCGCCGGCGAGCGAGACGGGAGGTTCTGAGAGAAGAAATATTCCCTCACGGTGCTTAGCCAATAAAAGTGCGGCACCTGTAAATCACGGTCTTTTTTGTGGCTGTACGAAGATGGAATGGTAAACTAACCGAACAGCATCTTGTGTTGGTGTTAATTTAATTTTTTGATATAAGCTCACATTCGAAATTCTAGTGTTAGTCTTCGTAATACAAGCGTTCATATAAATAATTTATTATATTAATTAGTTCGTTTCTCCACGAACGAGCTGAAGACAAGCGTTCATATAAATAATTTATTATATTAATT